TTAATTTTTTGTGATTTTAATGCTAAGTGCTAAAGATTTGTTTCAACCTAATTTAAATATACATATATAACTATTTAATTTTTTTAAAGAATTCAATTGCGATGTATTAGAATGTTATATAAATTATAAAAACCAAAGTATTTTTATATAGCTCTTAATTTCATTGGCATTGACGAATTGAAAAAGTTGTTGCAAATTTTCGTATGATTTTCTAACGAAATTACAAAATTTATGTGCAAAGAAGTGAAAACCGAAATCAACTTAATATATATTATATTTTTTATTTAAATCAGTTTGGTGCTAAATGTTTTGGATTATATTATGAAATTGTTAAAATTTAAATATAGATGAAAAAGTTGGTTTAAGTTTGCAGCAACTGAATAAAATGCACAATGGGAACCTTAATGAGCACATAGTATATATAGAAGAACCAAAACTCTGCCGTCAACTAAAACTAACATAATAAAAATATACATATTATATAAAAAATGCTTGAAAAAATCACACCTAAAAAAACACCAAATGAAAAACAAAATTTATATTAACCACAAAATATTAAGAAAAATGTTGATTTTGCACCAAAATAGACAAAAAAAATATTTTAAATAAGTTTAATCTATAAGTACTTAAGTTAATTTCTAGTCAACGAATTATGCTGAAGTTTAATAGAAAAGACGACTTCACTTGGAAAGAAGTTTATAAGATTCAAAAACAACGCACGCTTTGCAATTTTAAGGAGATGCATTTTATGAGAACTATCAATAAGTAGTGCACAGTTTTAAACAAAAATAAAACAGAAACCAATATAGAACAAAAGACTTTGCTTGAAAAAATAAATATTTATGAGAAATGGATATAAATTATCATATAACATTTCAAAGGATAATGAACACATGCAGTTAGAGAATTGCCAATAATTAATTAACACATTCACAAAACACTGACAACCAACCAGGACAAATATAAACTAAACTTTACCTAAGATTGTATTAAAAACATGAATTGAAAGAAAAACAAAAAAATGGAATTAAAAATGAAACAAAGAATTTTGCTAAATGTAGCAGAAGCTACTGAACTATTTTTGTTATAAGAAAGAAGAATTTCAGATGAAAAAATGAGACATATGTTATTGCCACTATTGATAAATAATTTTAATTAATAAAAAAAAAACTTGTACTATTTCGAAATTGAATGAAATGGAACAATGCCTAGTTATGAATTAACAAAGTATTTATGAAACTATATATGAAATATGTAAGACAATGCAATGCTGTAATACCATTAAATACTTAACAAGAACATTTAAATTTATGAGAAGTTTTATTTAATAACAAAGACTAGTACTGGGTGTCTGATAATAATTATTATTTTGCTGGAGTTTATTTATATTTGAATTTACGTTGAGTAATAAAGGCATCGATTTCTTGCGATACTTTAATATTAAGAAGTATCGATAAAATGTATTAAATAGTATGGCAGCACCACAAAGTTTGACAGTCGCGATAGGCTAGTCGAAATTTTGGTATTTATGTCTGCTGCGGTCACACAGTACACAGTAAACAGTTTTAGATTTTATCGTGTGTGTGCAATTCGTGGAAGAAAATTTGGTAATACGCAATGAAATTTGGTGAAAACTTTCATCAGTAGCGCCAGAAAATGATGAAAATAAACTAATTTGCATAGTGTTTGGTGAACAATGTAAAAATTGTTTGTATATATACTAGATTCGTTGTGTGTTTCCAAAAACTGTCCATGTACACTTGTATACACRCACGTACACACACACACATGCACTCACATATACAGTGGCAAACGTAGACAAAATACTAAACCCTCCCTCAACTCACGAATCATTTTTCAGAACCGTGCGCTGGGCCGTCGCGGCAAAGCGACCCACATAAAGAAAGCGAACAACAGGCAAAGCAAAACTAAGAGAAGTGCTCATAAATACACCGACCAACACACCAACAAACACATACACAGGCAGACATACATAAAACGTATACATCGAGTGAAAGAGTGTGCTAATTAAGTATTCGGATCATGGACGATGCCAACATACAGGACAAGGAGCGCTTCGCTAGCCGCGAGAATCACTGTGAAATCGAACGACGCCGTCGCAACAAAATGACCGCGTACATAACGGAACTCTCGGACATGGTGCCCACCTGCAGYGCGTTAGCACGCAAGCCCGACAAGCTGACCATCCTGCGCATGGCCGTGGCTCACATGAAGGCGCTGCGCGGGACAGGCAACACCAGCAGTGATGGCACCTATAAGCCCTCCTTCCTCACAGACCAAGAACTGAAGCATTTAATCCTGGAGGCAGCCGATGGATTCCTATTTGTCGTCTCCTGCGATTCGGGCCGTGTGATCTATGTCTCCGACTCGGTGACTCCGGTACTCAACTACACACAAAGCGATTGGTACGGCACCAGTCTGTACGAGCACATTCATCCAGACGATAGGGACAAGATACGCGAGCAGCTGTCCACACAGGAATCCCAGAATGCGGGTCGCATTCTCGATCTGAAGTCGGGCACTGTTAAGAAGGAGGGCCATCAGTCCAGCATGCGCCTGAGCATGGGAGCCCGTCGTGGCTTCATCTGTCGCATGCGCGTTGGCAACGTCAATCCCGACGCTATGGTCTCTGGACATTTGAACCGCTTAAAGCAGCGCAACTCGCTAGGCCCTTCCCGGGATGGATCCAATTATGCGGTGGTTCACTGCACAGGCTATATCAAGAACTGGCCACCCACGGATATGTTTCCCAATGTTCATATGGAACGTGACGTGGACGACATGGCTTCCCACTGCTGCCTGGTGGCCATTGGCCGGCTGCAAGTAACCTCAACGGCGGCCAATGATATGACCGGCAGCAACAACCAGAGCGAGTTCATCACACGCCACGCCCTAGATGGTAAATTTACGTTTGTTGATCAGCGTGTGCTGCACATTCTCGGTTATACGCCCACCGAGCTGTTGGGCAAGATCTGTTACGACTTCTTTCATCCGGAAGACCAGAGCCACATGAAGGAGAGCTTCGACCAAGTGCTCAAGCAGAAGGGGCAAATGTTCTCGCTGCTGTATCGTGCTCGAGCCAAGAGCTCCGAGTTCGTTTGGCTACGCACCCAGGCCTATGCATTCCTCAATCCCTACACAGATGAGGTGGAGTACATTGTGTGCACAAATAGCTCYGGGAAGACCCTGCATGGCGCCACTCCCGAACAGCAGCAGCAGCAACAGCAGGTGGAGCARCAGCARCATGTCTATGTACAGGCGCCGGGTGTAGATTACACGCTGCAGCCGCCGCGACGTGAGATTACGCCAACTGGCGGCGACGCCGGCATCTATCAGATGCATATGCAGGCGCCACCGCCGCGACCCGCCTCGGCGCAGAATACGCCGGTGGCCTATAGCTACGATGCCACGCACTCACCGTATGGTGCGGCAACAGGTGGAGGTGGCGGCGGTCCCTCACCWTTGGCCAAGCTGCCCAAGTCGGGCACTTCGCCCACGCCTAATGCCTGGGGCGCACGTCCCATGGCCGCACAGCAGCAGCCGCAACCCACTGCCACCGAGGGGTATCCAGCCTATCAGCAGAGCAGTCCGGCCCGCTCCCCGAGTGGCCCCACCTACACGCAGCTCAGTGCCGGCAATGGACAGCAGCAGCAGCAACAACAACAGCAGCAGCAGCAGCAACAACGTCAACAACAGCAGCAACAGGCATCGGCTTATCAAACGGCGCCAACAGCAACACCTTGGGATTGGCAGAATGCAGCGGCCTCACATCCGGCGCATCCGCATCCCCATCCGCATCCGCATCCGCATGCTCATCATCCACATGCACATGCGCATGCGCATCCAGGCGCCGCCGTTGCAGGGGGCGCACAGCAGCCTCAGGGTCAGGAGTTCTCAGACATGCTGCAGATGCTCGATCACAGCGCTACAACAACATTTGAGGATCTAAATATTAACATGTTTAGCACGCAATTCGAGTGAATGTAATGCAATTCCCTCCATATCTCTCCCTCTCTCTCTTACACCTACACCATTCGGAACTCCTTCTGGTAGGGATGAGCKCGTGTCTTACTCCATAATTTTTAGTATTAATATTTTGCAAGTACTAATTTTCAAAGCCAATCGCATTTGCTCGTGACACGCGCTAATCTCTAGTTGTCCACACAAAGCTCAGTTTTTAATTATTTTTCAAGTGCAATCTATAAGAGAAACATTTTCTACAAAATTGTTGAAATATTTTAGCCAGCATACAAATACATATAGCCTATGTACAAACGCTTCAAGTCAGAAGATATAAAGCGAAACAAATTAAATTGTAATCTCGTAAATAGGCACTTAGGTACATAACGGTAGTCACGTACCGTACACGCTCTCGATATCGATATCATTGCTTGCTTCCACATGAAAAGCCGCCAATCCGCACATACACAGACACACATACATATTCAGAGACAAGACCCCTGCCTCTGCCTCTGCCAAGCAGTGTAAAAGTATTTGAAATAGCTGTAAATCAACGACACTCATTATGCAAATTGCAAAGTTCATTAACAAACAAATGAACACAATTTTTATAAATATATATATACATAATTAAATACTTACAAGTGTAATTTCTAGACTAATAAACAACACAATTCTAATTGTAAGCATTGGCATACAAACACACACATRCACAAACAATTGGCCGCGCTCTTCGTCTCTCATCCACACACACTAACACATTCGCATATTGCGCTGCAACATTGACACCAATTTTTTGTTGTCGCTCAGTTTTTGCTATGTATTTTTCATGCGGAAAAGCAGTTCAAGTGCACATACTGAAAAGAATAATTGCTTAATTTCAATTTTTTTCCGACAAATTTGCTAAAAAGYGCAAGCTTAACTTTGAACAGTCGCGGATCAAATAACATGGCAGCTACAAATTGACGAATTACATACATATACATATACTATTTCCATTTCATAGTTTTAAACACACAAATTAGCGAATAAAGCGTATGGCAGAC